GGGTGGGGGGAAGCCAGGTGTGGGGAGAAGGGGGGGGATGTCAGGCGGCCGTTCAAGAGAGCATAGGTGGTATGCAGGCCGTTGTGAGTGAGGCGATAGCAAGCACACGGGAGCAGCAGCGTGGCATCCAAGAATCGGTTAATTGACCCGCGGCCGCACACAAGAGGGGTGCGAGCCCGCGTGGGGCACCAAGGCGTGCACAGGTCAAACATGGTCAAATGGGGGGACGGGGGTGCGCACTTCTCGATCTTGGAGACGACGTCGAAGCCCTCCACAACCTGGCCAACAAGGGGTTGGGGCAATGGTCACAATCGGGAAGTCAAGCGGCGGGTTGCTGCCGGAAGGGGGAGGAAGGGTCCGGAGCTGTGCCCTGTTTGTGAGAAGACAATGGGTCCCTTGTGTGTGGCAGGATCGCTTTCTGGCAAGAAACAGCAGGGGTTCATGGGGACCGCACGGCTAGAGGCGTCAGCGCACCTCGCCGAAGACGACGTGGCGGCCGTCCAGCCAGGGCGTCTGGTGAGGGAGAGCGCGAGAAAGGTGGTGTGGGGGGCGCGACTGGAAACGTCATGGCGTGTGCAGCCGCACCATAAGAGGCGTCATAGCGCGGAATACAATGAACTCGTCGCGCATTGAGCGGGCAGCTGCTGCGTATCAAGTCACAGCATGCAAGCGCTATCAGGGGCAGCGCACCTCGACGGTGCACAGGAAGAACTGGCTGCCGTTGGTGTCTGGTGGGGGTGGGGGTGCGGGTGGGGGTGAGGTTTGTGCAAAACAGACAGACAGTAGGGCTGCAATCATATCACCACCCAGAAGATGCATCGGCAAGCCTAGATAACGCTCATCCATCACTAATTTCAACCCACGCCCATGCAAAGCACGCCACAGCTGCCACGCGCTCGCGGCAAAGGACAGCAGCCCACGGCCCCAGAGCGGCAAGCCGCCAGGGCTGCAGAGGCTGGTGCGGCGGGCGGCGCTCACTGGGTCCCGCGTTGGCCATCGACAGGATGCCGGGGCCGGTGTGGCGGTACCTGGGCGTGTGCAGTCAGGCAAGAAACTTGAGTTCAGCACGAGGGAACATCGGAGGTCTGGGAAGGGGGTGCGCTGTGCAAAGCTGGTACATTCTGCAGCCGGCCGTGCTCGGTCCCAGCCCGTCACCCAGCCTGCCAGCGGCAGTGTATTCCGTCACCCTCGACTCTGCGCGACGCGTGTGTGCCCCGCATCCGCCACAACCCCACACTCCAACCGATCTCTCCGCACACACCTCGCCCCGCGCCCGGAAAGACGCCCCCAGCCCACATGCCAGTTGAGAATCCCCCCAAAACTTCCCCAAAGCCCCACCACCCAAAGGACCCACTTGAAGTTCTCGTCCGGGAACTTGTTACCGTAAATGGACTTGCCCCCGGTGCCGTTGCCCGCGGTGAAGTCGCCCCCCTGAATCATGAAGTCCTTGATGCAGCGGTGGAAGCTGCTGCCCTTGTAGCCGAAGCCCGCCTCGCCTGCAGGGGCGCGAGCGCGGGGGTGGGGGGCGGGGGTGCGCCAGGGGCCGGGGTTGCAAAGGCGGGGCGCAGGGAAGGGCGCGGAGCGCGCC